CCTATGGATATTTTTTCAACCATAATCAAGTAGGAAAGGGAGAAGGGATATTAAGAAAAATGATTATGATATTTTAGGAAAAATGTGTCACTTTTCTTATAATTAACTAATTTACCTAACTTCTTTAATCTAATCAAATTAGTTAAATGGATCTTATATTAAGGTTGGAGGAGTATTTGTTAAGCACTTGCTGTCAATTTATAATTCAAATACACATTATTAATAAGATTATTTTAGGAAAAAAATAATATTTATTTATTATAAATAACTAACTTAACTAACTTTTTTAATCTCTACAAATTAGTTAATTAAGTCTTATATATATTAAACACCAGAAGCAATATTATTTAAACCAAGCACTATCTATCACTTTTAACTAGAGATTATAGTTGATCAAGAGTTCTCCAAATCCAAATCACCGAACAAGACTCCTTTAAAGAAGCTTTGGCGAGCCACAACGGGCAAAGTTAGTCCCCCTACAACGACATATTGATAATTAGATCATTGTATTGAAGAGTTAATGAGTAAAAATAGGAAAAAAAAATAATGAATCAAATTTGTATGTATTCTAATTTTTATATATCCAACACTCAATCATTTCAAGAGTATTTTGACAGCAGTTTGATTATTAGTACAATTTAAGAAAAACAACAATATGATCAAATCACGGATCACTAGTGCTTTCATATACTTAATGTAAATTGAAATAAGTATATAATTTAAGTACATTATTAACCAATATGTCAAATGTTGGGGGGAAATCAATGTATGATAATTCTGGGAGGGTTTAAAGGACAAGAAAAGAAGAGCACACTCTACCACTCTTTTTTTTTTTTTGCATTTTAGGGAAAAATTATATCTTCGTGCTGATGATTTTATTCAACCCGTGGCTGTAATTTGCTCAATAATTCAGTCAATATTTTGTTAAACTTTTTTATTTTATTTAACTATAGATATTTTATTAAGAACTTAAACACACACACACATATGATGGCTTGCAATAAAATAGTATCCAAAAAATTCAATGAATATTATAGAATTGAAATTTTATTTGAATTATAGTAAAGATTTAAACACAATATCTTCAATTATGAAGTCTATCTTTTGGCCAGGAAGGGTTTAAATTTAAAGTTAAATAAAAATGTTATTATAATCTTTGGCTTTTCAAGTTTGTCCTCATTTAGTTTTGGCCTCTCAAATTTTAAACTGTAAGTTTTGATTCCATAAAGAACAAAATAATTCAAGTTTTTATTGAATTATAGGAACCAATATTATAAATAAAAAGAAACTTGAGAGATCAAAACCTATAATTTGAAATTTGAGGAATCAAAATTAAAATGAAGGCAAACTTGAGAAACTAAAGTTTGTATTAATCCAAAATAAAATTACAATAATTATAGAAATACATATAAATATATATGTATTAAATTTATGTTTCTTAGTGTTTAAGGCTAAAATTGGTGTCACCTCTTTAGGCCGTGGGCCCCTTATGCGGCCAAGGAAATGATGTTAATTTATTCAATTCATTATTATTTGGTATTTCTCTTAGTTGATTGCCTACGTTGATATGATCGTATGAGAAACCTATAAATTATTAAATAATCATCAAAATTCAATTCAAAGTTTCAATTCCGCGTAACGTGAGGACCTTTTCCAAAAAAGAAAAAAGAAAAGAAAAGGTGTACGAATCATGCTAGTTGTCATCCGAGTGTATAAATGAGTTATTAGTACCCATACCTAATTTTTTAATTTCATTAAATTAGTTACATAAACAAAGTACCATGTAATTTATTTATTTATTTTATTTAGTTCATATTGTTTGTAAGTGAATTGGCTACCGTTGGTTCCAGTTTTTTTTTTTTTTCAGTTGCACGTAACGGGATAAAATTTATGGCTAATTAAACCATAAATCATTCTGCATGGGTTTTGCTAGAAGATTGCTTTTGTGGAATGATTTGGTATATATATACAATAAAAATATATACCTTACAAATCTGATAGAGTTAAATTAAAGAACCTAGAGTAAGCATGTTAATTTAGTCTAATCATCAAAACTAAACTTAGTGTTCAAATGGAATTAGGTACATTTGTTGTTTTTTCCTCCAATCATTCATTACTGTAAATATTAATATTATATATGTTTTTCAAATCGACCATTGTTTTTACTAATTATATATTCATTAATACTGTCATTTAAATTCACTATTTATTTTTATTATTATATTCGATAAAGATTTAGTATAATTTAAAACCATGCATTGCATGAGAATTCTGTCTGGTTTTGTATCTGCTCTATAATTCATGAGGGCTTTTAATTAGTCCGGTTTAAGAAATTTTAGATTTTAATAATTTCACCTATAGTCAAATGTGAAATCTTGTTTCCTCCCTTTTTTCTAAAGTTTTTTTGAGATTAATCTGTCAAGGATTCAATCGTTGAAATCATTGAAGATCTAAAGACAAATGCTGATGTGGTCTAAACATAATACTCCTCCGGTCCTTAATATAAGACCCATTTAACTAATTTGATTAAATTAAGAAAGTTAGGTAAGTTAGTTAATTATAAGAAAAGTGACACATTTTTCCTAAAACACCATAATAATCTTTTTTAATATCTCATCTCCCTCTTCTACTTGATTATGATTGAGGAAGTATCTATATGGGTAATTTAGAGAAAATTGATAAATATGATAAATGTGTCTTATATTTAGGATTAAAACCAATTTAAGAATTGGGTCTTATATTAAGAACCGGAGGAGTAATTATTTAAGCGAAAAATAGCAACAAAATATGACACAAACTTTAGCCTCATTAAAAGGCTACAAAGTTATAGTGGTTTAGCAAAAAAAAAATGGCACAAATCATGCACTTTGTAGCGGTTGTTTGTCATTATCACAAATAAATCGCTGCAAACATAAGTTTTTTTTTTTTTTTGTAGTGTGTCATTGAGAATGCTTCTTGCTAGATTGAGACCTTTTCAAGATATGAAGCATATAGAATGTGTTACATTTCTTTTTTATTCTCCATTTTTTTAATAACAGAATAAATTAAAAGTGTATATGGGTGACCATGTCTATTGCACGTTTGCTTGAAATCCACCTCAACATTAAAAAAGGAATGAGGGCTCAAAGGGTCTTAATTTTCTTAAGAAGAATTTCAAATTTGGATGGAAGAAAAAGAAAGAAGAGGTTTAATTTAGGGGGTCCTATTAAAATCTCTCTTTCTCTGCTTACATTTTTTTTTTTGGTAATATCTTTCTCTTCTCACTTGTTGTATCTTGTATTGGGAGAATCTTCTCCCAGCCTAAATGAACCAAACGAACTTGTTTTAAAAATCATGTTATTGTCCCCATGTAGAGATTTTAGCAACTAAGCATGCTATTTGGATTAGATTTTGAGGAATAAATTTTTTTAAAAAAATATTTGAGTAAAATAGATTTGAAAAAAAAAGCTAAAAGCATTTTTTTGGGTCAAAATCATGATTGTCAAAATACAGTGAATTAACTCGGACTGAGTTTTAAATTGTGAAATTTTGAAGTTTAAAGCATTTTTTAAAAATCATAAAAAAATTCAAAATTATACTAATACATGATCATAAAATATTAAAATATTATTGATTTTATGTAATTAAAGCACCGTAATAAGTGTTAGCCGTTTGTCCTAAATAATTTCCCCAAAATATAAGCTATAAAGAGATTCAACATTTTACGTAGGTAGAGTGAAAATGGTCTAAATTATAATAGGAGGTAACTGAAATTTAAAGACTAAAGTTAACCAATTTACTTATAGGGTTAATATAATCTTTGGTCCTTTAAATTTTTTTTTTTTTGATTTTAGTTCCTCAAATTTTAAACCATAAGTTTTTGTCCCTTATAGGGTATAATAGTCTAAACTTTTATTGGATTACAAGAACAAATATTATAAATGAAAAGAAACTTGAAGGATCAAAACATATGGTTTAAAATTTAAAGGACCAAAACAAAAATGAAAACAAATTTGATAGATTAAAAATTATATTATCCCTAACTTATATAATGTTTTATTTGGATCCTGGTTAAATTTATTATTAAAAGCATGACCTAACCGTAAAAAGGCTACTAAAAAACTTGAAAACTTTTTTTTTTTTGGCCAAAAGAAAAACCTTGAAAACTTAAACCATCAAAGTTGGGCTTTTAAAGTTATTTGATTTGAACTCAAGCTCAAATAATTACAAACTCTCAACTATTTTTTAATATTTAAAGCGACTCTTATATTTAATGTTTGAAAGTGCTTTAAATAGAATTATTTTTAATAAAAAGCATTTGTGTCTACCAAAACACAAAATGATTTTATAATATATGGAGTAAGTATGTAAAAAGAATTTTATTTTAATTTATGTAAAAGTACTTTTTAAAAGTATTTTTAGGGTTAACCAAACAATTTTTAAACTAATCACCCGTCATTGTATAAACACAAATTTACAGGTCTTAATATACTCCTCCGGTCCTTATTATAAGACCCAATTTGACTTTTTATTTGGTCCTAATTATAAGACCCAATCCATTTTGTCTCTTATATTTATGCATTTTTTTCCAAGATAATCCTTCTAATAATGATAGTTTTAGCCAATATACTTAATTAGCAAGGATATTTTAGAAATGACAACACTTATTTATTATAAATAACCAATTTAACTTACTTCCTTAATTTCCTCAAATAAGTCAATTGGGTCTTATAATTAGAACCGGAAGAGTATATATATTTATCAATTATAGAGATTGTAAATTTAACCACAAGAGCAATCCATTCATCACGCTGGCAGAAAAACAAATTTCATTCAGCACGATATTTTTTGTGTTTTGGCACAAAGAAGGGCCTTAGGTATTCAAATTCAGAAATTTGTGGTCCTTCAGTACAGGTAACTCCTGATTTTGGTTCTTAGCATAATTTCCTCGAATTCTGGAATCATCCTGAATTTCCCTCCACGGTTCGGATCAAACCCGGATCCGCCATTTATGCCTCGAGTTCGTTCCGCTCCGCTGAAACCAACGATCACCGCAGCCATTGTCTACCACTATTTCCAACTGCTAGATCTCCTTGACCTGCGACCCTCGTCTTCTTCTTACTAACACAATGTACGCCCCAAGTTCCTTGTTCATTCCGTTACTTCTCAATCTGATCTATGTTTGTCTCTAATTTTTATTTTCGGTAGTGTATTTTTCTTTAATCTGAATGTGGTGCTATAAAAGTGTTTTGCAAATCTAGGGTTTCGGAATTTGCTGTAAGTTGATTGTTTAGTTATGAAACCCATAGAATGTTTTTAGATAAAGGCCTGAAATTAACTTCTAGTCCTCATTTGATTCCCGCGGAAACTGTTATAATAGGAGTTATAAATTGAGATACTGATGTTCTTTGTAGTTGCATCCATTTTTTTTTTTTTTAATTTTTTTGGTATCGTAATCAATGTGGGGCAGATGTTTAACGCAATAAATTGGGACTGTCATACGCTAGCGTTCCGACTTAGTTGAACTTAGCTTCTTTCTGCATTCTTCACATTTATCGGAGCTTGATATGCTGCAGCCTTTTGTCTATAACCCCTTGAAAAATGGATTATTCTGAGGCCAGAAATGATGCTAGGGGATGCTTGTAAGGTGTCTGCTATTTTGATTCCTGATAAAATTTGTCCCTTCATGTTTTGCGGTGCTTTGGATAGCATCTTTAAAGTGAAAAAGATGATGTCTTCCAAGTGTTTGAGGTTGGGTTTGTGGTTTAGTGATTCATTTGACATTCCATACTTTTTCTGGTATTAGCTAATATATCTGTTTCCTCATGCTCAGCTGCATGAACTTTGTGCATACCTTGCTCTTTGTATACATGCTCACCTTTATTTTGGAAATTGACACTTTATCCTCTGGGAAATGACTGCTTTCCTCATGAGTTTAATGATTTTTCCCATGATTTCATTTGTATTTTCATATCTCTGTGTGTGAGAGTGTGCGAGAAAGGCACCTTATTGGATTCATATTGGATTGCATTTTATGTTACTTTCAGAAAAGGCAGATACTATCCCTAAAATAAGCACGCAGCTAACTAATGAAGTTTACAAAATGTTTGAACTCATTTTTTGGGCCCTACATCTGTATTTATTCTCGTTTTGGGGTTGTGGCCCCTAGGTCTAGAGATTGATATAAATTCCTTGGGAATGCAATCGGCAAAACCGGACCTAGGTAGTGCATCCTAAGCCAGATACCTTACAAATTCTTATATTTTAAATATCTACATCCTACGGTAATCATTTGGAGCCATGGCATTCCAATTACTGGATTTTTTTTTTTTTGGTAGGATCATACAGAAGAAATATCTTTTGATAATAGACTTGTTGAAGTGAGCTATGGATTGCAATATTGCATATATGCAAAACTGACCCATAAGAGCATAGCAATATCGCAAATAAGTGATAAGTAAAGTTGTGGACTTGTAGTATCCTTTTTAGACAGGGTGATCTGTTTTTTCTTTTGTTTCTTTTTTTTTTTTTTTGTTGGGGGGGGGGTGGTCCTATGAGGTATTGTATTCCTCCCGATGAAAATTATTGCATATTTAGGAGTTTGAGTTTTTAGATTTGGTTTTGCATTTTGTAACTGCAGCATCAGTTGCTTCTTGTAAGTTTTGTTGCTTATGTTTATTTTGGCTCTGGTCGTTGCTCTGCTGTTTAGTTTTCAATATTGTTATTTCATAGTGTTTTATTGTGAATATAGGGCTGACGAAGAACCTGTTGATCCTAAGGGATACCTTGAAGAGTCTTGCAAACCAAAGTGTGTTAAACCATTACTTGAATATCAGGTATGCATTTTGAAAATTTTCTTTTTGATGTGTAGGATTGGAAGCCTTATCATTTCATTGACTAATCAGCTTTTGTCTCAAGGACATGGACTCAAGGTCCTTTTACTTACAATCAGTTATAGACAGGGGACACCTGTGGCATCAAATGATTCTGAAAAAATTCACTTTGAAATTTCTTATTTTATTTTGGTCACACTGGTTGTGATATATAGTAGAATGTGGGCCCTAGAGATTCAGTTGATCAGTTATTCACCCTCGAGAAGGAAACAAAAATGAACATGAACAAAAATAAAGACTCATAAGGTGGGTAAAACTGTTTGAGACAAAACAGCATAAATTCTTATGAAGAATCTGCCATGAGGAAATTTAGAATGGCAGGGATGCTGTTGGAGTATTATAGGGTGGGCGCGTAAGGAATTGAAGATGATATTCGATGGATATAATTTAGTTAAATATAGAACAAAAGGTGATCACTAGCCATGGCAAGAAATAGGGAAAACTATTAGAAATGTGATGTAGATGTAGCAAACAGTTTTCTGGGCTGCTGTTATCCTATTCTCTGGGCTTTGTTTTGCACCATGATTATTTAAATTGGATCATACCAATCAACTCACTGGTAAACCGGTGGTTTTAGAAACCATTCAAGCTTGCTTTCTTCACCTTGCTTTCTAAATTAGAAGTTGGCAATGCAATCTCAAACTTGGGATGGAAAGATGTTGTGTATTTTCTATCTCCCAAATCTTCGTGTGAATGCAATTTTTCATAGCAGATAAAGTTCAATTCTTCTACTTTCTGCAGGCATGCGTTAAAAGGATCCAAGGTGATGAATCTGGGCACAAACATTGCACAGGACAATATTTTGATTATTGGTCATGCATCGACAAATGTGTAAGTATCACTTTATAGAATATATTGAACAAGTCACATTATAGCTTTGTATTCAATTTTAAGAGCTATAATAAAAGTTGTGTTGTGCTTTACGATCTATTTACATAAATTTGCTAATCCAAACACCCTCTAAACCATAATCCTTCAATGCATGCAGGTTGCACCGAAGCTATTCTCCAAACTGAAGTGATGGCAGATGATTTTGGTATATTGTGATGATTATCTTTTCATCTCCTATTTTGTTGGAAATGACTGCTCCCTCACATTTGCCTTTGCACCCGTTATTGTGGTTACTGTGAAAGTTTGAACTCAGGGTGATCTTAGGTCGGTCTTTAATAAAAAAGAAAAAAAGTGAAACACTAGCGAAGTCGTTACTCCTTTTGATTTGGAAGGATGCTTTTTCACTTGACAATGTGGTGGATCTGACTTTTTAAGTGGGATTTTGTCGTGCAATGGAAGTTTAATTTGTCTGGGCCGACGTACATTGTGGGGTTAAATTATTATTATTGAGGGGAGTTCATAATTAATACATATATTATGTGCCTATTATCTTTATTATTAATTTTTTATATCAAACAATTTTTGGAAGCTTCATATCATATGCAATTTTAATATATAAAATAAAAAAATATTGTTAATTTTTTTTTAAAACTAATTTAACCATGATCTAACTGGAATCTGACTAATGGAGCCTGAACTGGCGTCTTGACGAGTTCATTAAGTTTGATTTTTGAGATGCATGATAAAATGAAGCGAGAAGAATTATAAATAGGCCCCAAATGAAAACTAATTATTTCTTATCTCATCTATATGTCATGCTTTAATATTCACGTAACAGAATTAACTTTTAAATTTGCAAGTAGTTAAGATTTGCGGGTAATTAATTTTTTTCCCATTTGGCCCCTGCATGTAATTCTTCCAATAACATAAAGCAATTTGAAATTAAAATTTCCAAGAGCATATATGTCTCTCGACTTCATACTATTCTATCTAGTGAAATAGAAATTTCAAAAGGCAGACACCTTATTCGGGGGCGGGGGCGGGGGCGGGGGCGGGAGGGGAGGGGACATTTTAGCTCCCCTCCAAATTAGAGGTTTTTAGAAGGGAGTCAAATTTTTGGACTATTATGCCATTATAGTTTTTTTAATATTCCACTTCTACCTATAAAATATATTATTATAATATTTATTTCAAATAAAAAATATATTATCCTAAGTAAAAAAATAAAAAATATATACAATATTATAATTAAAAATATATTATAAAAAAGTATTTAAATAAAAAATTATAATATTATAAAATTAATTGTTTTTTATAAATATATTATTTATTAAATATATTTTAAAGCTGGAAAAAAAGATAGCCTAAAGAGAATAAAATTTCATTTTTCTTAGAGCATATAAAATTTGTTAATTTGATTATTTTAAATATATTATTATATTAATTATAATAAAAAATTACTGTACCAATTTTTTAATACACATATTAACATGATAAGACTGAATTTTTTATTAAATTATATGATTTAAATTAAGATGTAAATTAATTTATATAATATAACAATAAAAAACATAAACTAATATGTAAGGGTAAAATGATAAATTGATTATTACTATCCCTCCCCTCCCTTCCTTGAACCAAACAAGGGATCATTAAATGTCCTCCCCTCCCCTCCTTTTTAATCAAACCAAACAAGGTGAGGTTGAAACCTTCCCCCTTCCCTCCCCTACCCTCCCCTCAAACCAAATAAGCCCTAAAAGATTTGTATCACCAGTACGTGTGTGATACGCACTAAAAATGATTTTTAAAATAACAAGACCATAATGTTGTTTGAAAAAGGAAGTACATAAATACTCCTCTTGATTCTAGACGTAAGATTTATTTTGTGTTATAAATTATATTAGAAAGTAAGTGTTACATTTATGAGGAGAGTACCAATATAATAAAATAGAAGCTTCAGAGATACTCTTCCGGTCCTTATTATAAGACCCCATTTGACTTTTTATTTGGTCTTAATTATAAGACCCAATTCATTTTGTCTCTTATATTTATGCATTTTTTCCCAAGATAATCCTTCTAATAATGATAGTTTTAGCCAATATACTTAATTAGCAAGGATATTTTAGGAATGACAACACTTATTTATTATAAATAACCAACTTAACTTACTTCCTTAATCTCCTCAAATAAGTCAATTGGGTCTTATAATTAGGACCGGAGGAGTACTACTTATTATATTACTTTTTATTTGAGTCATGAAGGCATCTAGCGTATGTTTGCATCAACGTTTTCAACGGAAAACATGCATTGGAATGATGCAAACCCACGTTACTAGCAGGTAAATGCTCAAACAAATATTTGGTGAGCATTTTTGCAAATGAGCTTTTGGGTAAAGAAAATAGCCTAATGCTAAAGCTAATTTTTTGAGCTTTTGCGGTCACAAACGTGAAGAGAGAAAAGATGGTAATGAAGAAAGAAAAAATTACTCCTAACAAATGCAATAATTTGATACTACATATTCTTATAATATAAGAGTTAGATAACTAATTTAAAGATATTAATAAAATTAATTAAATTAGTTATTTATAATAAATTAATATTATATTGCTTAAAATATTCTTATTAATCATGTGCATTAAAACTATCCATCAATAAAAACTCTTTAATGTGTATAATCATTATAGGGATTACTTAGGAACAAACTAAATAAATATTAGAGACAAAATGGATTGAAATCTTATATTTAGTATATTCAAATTTTCTCAATAATATATTAACTATTTTTATAATTTTAATATTTTTTTAAAATTATCACATTATATACATAATTAGTTAACAAAATTTATGTTCTTTTAGTAATTTTACATCTAAACTTATTTTTCTACAATTAATCCAAACAAGTTTAAGTTGACTTTTCTTCAAATGTCTTTTCTTCAAATGTCAATCCAAACATAAATCACCTTACATTAATTGACTTTTATCTTAGCTCACGTTTGTAAAAGTCAGATAAAACAAAAATCAGTTTTGTTACCGCCAATCCAAACAAACTTTGCGTGTTTGGGGAAGGCACTGGTAGTTAAGTCATCTTTGAGATTTTTGATTGGACGGTGGCTTCTCATGGCAATCGCTTTTGGCTTCATAAAATTTTTAGATGAGTTCCAATCAGAAAAAGAACCAGTTTGTGGATGTAATTAAATGTAGGGTGTTTGGATACCTCCAAATTAAAAGGCATTTTTTAAAAATATTTTCTCGCAAGTCAAGATATAACTCCTCTTATTTTGTTTATTGTAAAATCACTTTTAAAATTATGATCGCTCATGCACACACGTTCTTGTTGAATGATGTTTGTTGTGTGATGCCAAAGTGATGATTGTGTTAGGGTTTTGTAATTATGTGTAGTTTGTTGGCTTTTATTCAATAAAATGATAATTCAGCTGCAACAAACAATTATCCATATTGATGTGTTTTTGTAGAACGATCAGTTTAAGGTTCTTATTATTATATATGAACGTATCAACGTGGTAAGATTAATTCTTTCTTTTGTACTCTTGGCTTTGATTTCTCATTTCATCATCTTGATGCTTTTTTCAGCACTGTGATGCCCGGAATAGATATATAACTTGCAAGTTTAGAAAGCCAACTTTGTATTTCTTTCTTTTAACGCTTAGATTCTATTGAATTGTGTAAAAGAGAGTGAATGAATAATAGTAGCAGTAGCAACAGTATTAAAAGTAATAGTAATAGTAGTAGAATTGGCATCTAATGAAATGTGTAGATAATTTTTTTTTTTATGGATATGTAATTAGATGAAATTTGACTAATGCTGGGCCTAATTAGAGATAACCCTTTAAAAGACATTTTTACCATTCATTTAGACTATCTCACCCCATAAAGAGGATAACACAAGTTTGAATTTTAAAAAGTATATTTGTTAGGAGGGTTTTAAGCCTTTAACTTTTTACTTCTAGCTCAACAAGAATTAATTTCAAGTACAAAGTGACTTAAGAAAACTATAATCACTTTATACCCAAAAAAAAAAAATCATTTAGACTAGATATCTCATGCTTACGTGATCAAAATCCTGTTCTCTAGAACTAATGTATACGGGTCAAAAAACTTTTCTTTTTTTTTTTGGACTCAGGGTCAAAAAACTTTAGTAAGAGAGATTAGAGTCCAAGAGGAAACAATTGCGCGACTCCTTATAAATCATATATATATATATATGTATATAAAATATTTTTTTCTAATTATATTATATTAAATTATATAAGGATTATTTTAACTGACATTTCTATGTGCATCTCACTCTATCTTTGCCATTTGAGATAGATTCAGGTGTGGATATATATTTTATATTTTAATTAATAACAATAAATGATATTGATGAGGGTCAAATGTACGTGCTCAGGACATAACTAGAAATTTCTTCTGCATGCGATGTATGGATTAGCATATTTGATTAGATTTAAAATTTTAATAAATTACATTATCTATTATAGCTCAAAATCTACTTTTTATAAGAGTATGATTTTTTTTATTCATTCAAATAGAACTTGAATTAGAGATGCAGAATTTAAGAGGAATCAATAAAAAATTAAAATTATTTATTTATTTCTTCATTTAAGGCTCCAATTGACATATTATTTAATTATGATGCTCCACATTTAATGCAATATATTCAAATTCCAATTAAAATATTATTCAAATTTAAAATTAATTATTAATTTCTTCATTTAAGCATCTAATTGAAATTTCATTTATTTATAATATTTCTTATTTAATTCAATATATTCAAGTTTCAATTAATATATTATTCAAATTTCATTAATTGAATATATTCGGATTCAATAATATGATCTATTTTCAAACAAATTGGGTATTACAAGTTTTTAAAAATATAGTTGATGATTGATTGATTTTTATAGCAGTACAAAAGCATACTAGTCTCCTTATTATTTCACCTTAATTGTTACAATTATCTCTTTTGACTCTCAAAATTCAAGAAAGTTAATTAATTCAATAGTTAGTCAGCCGTTAATTACATATTTAGACCAAAATTTTGAGGTGAAATTTTGAAACATTTATTTATTAAAATTAATTAAGATGAAGAGGCAGAGGGAAAATTATTACTCCTCCGATCCTAAATATAAGACTCTTATACTAATGTGTATAAGACACTGGTATAAAGATCTTATATTTAGGATCGGAAGAATATGATATATTTTGCGGGAGGTGAAAAATGAATGCGCGTCAATGATATATGAATGAGTCGTCTCAACTATTTTCTTACTTGCCGTTTTCTTATTATTTAATAAATATTTTATATTTTATTTGTTGGGAACTTGTTCAAAATACCAACATTACAATGTCAAATTAACTTGCTGCGTGGGTTAGCTTTAGATATCTCCAGGAAGCAAACTTTCTAGACTTCTAATGGCCAAGTCCTCACCAACATGACAGTCACGTCTAACCAAAAAG